AGTCAATCACCACCACTTTTGCAAAAACACTTTAAATTCATTTATCCAGTCAATCACCACCACTGCATCTGGACTGAAGCAACACTATCCTCTCCTCAACATCTCCATTTATCCAGTCAATCACCACCACTGCTCTGCACTGAGGGAAAACACTTCCTCTCCTACAACATGGTCCATTTATCCAGTCAATCACCACCACTGCATCTGCAGAGGAAAACCTTCCTCTCCTTCAACATCTCCATTTATCCAGTCAATCACCACCACTGCATCTGCACTGAGGGAAAAACTTCCTCTCCTACAACATCTCCATTTATCCAGTCAATCACCACCACTGCATCTGCACTGAGGGAAAACACTTCCTCTCCTACAACATCCATCCAGTCAATCACCACCACTGCATCTGCACTGAGGGAAAACACTTCCTCTCCTACAACATCTCCATTTATCCAGTCAATCACCACCACTGCATCTGCACTGAGGGAAAACACTTCCTCTCCTACAACATCTCCATTTATCCAGTCAATCACCACCACTGCATCTGCACTGAGGGAAAACACTTCCTCTCCTCCATACATTTATCATCTCCCATTTATCCAGTCAATCACCACCACAACATGCATCTGCACCACTGCGTCTGCACTGAGGGAAAACACTTCCTCTCCTACAACATCTCCATTTATCCAGTCAATCACCACCACTGCGTCTGCACTGAGGGAAAACACTTCCTCTCCTACAACATCTCCATTTATCCAGTCAATCACCACCACTGCGTCTGCACTGAGGGAAAACACTTCCTCTCCTACAACATCTCCATTTATCCAGTCAATCACCACTGCATCTGCACTGAGGGAAAACACTTCCATCTCCATTTATCCAGTCAATCACCACCACTGCGTTGCACTGAGGGAAAACCTCTCCTACAACATCCACCACTCCATTTATCCCATTTATCCAGTCAATCACCACCACTCACCACTGCATCTGCACTGAGGGAAAACCCTCTCCTACTCCATTTATCCAGTCATCTGCCATTTATCATCTCCATTTATCCAGTCAATCACCACCACCTGCATCTGCACTGAGGGAAAACACTTCTTCCTACAACATCTCCATTTATCCAGTCAACATCACACCACCACCACTGCATCTGCACTGAGGAAAACACTTCCCTCCTACAACATCTCCATTTATCCAGTCAATCACCACCACTGCGTCACTGAGGGAAAACACTTCCTCCTACAACATCTCCATTTATCCAGTCAATCACCACCACTGTGCACAAAACACTTCCTCTCCTACAACATCCCATTTATCCAGTCAATCACCACCACTGCATCTGCACTGGGAAAACACTGCACTGAGGGAAAATCACCACCTCCACTGACAACATCTCCATTTATCCAGTCAATCACCACCAGTCAATCACCACTGCATCTGCACTGAGGGAAAACACTTCCTCTCCTACAACATCTCCATTTATCCAGTCAATCACCACCACTGCATCTGCACTGATTTATCCAAAACCACTTCCTGCACTGAGGGAAAACTCCTCCTACAACATCTCCATTTATCCAGTCAATCACCACCACTTCCTCTCCTACAACATCTGCACTGAGGGGGAAAACACTTCCTCTCCTACAACATCTCCATTTATCCAGTCAATCACCACCACTGCATCTGCACTGAGGGAAAACACTTCCTCTCCTACAACATCTCCATTTATCCAGTCAATCACCACCACTCAATCACCTGCACTGAGGGAAAACACTTCCTCTCCTACAACATCTCCATTTATCCAGTCAATCACCACCACTGCATCTGCACTGAGGGAAAACACTTCCTCTCCTACAACATCTCCATTTATCCAGTCAATCACCACCACTGCGTCTGCACTGAGGGAAAACACTTCCTCTCCTACAACATCTCCATTTATCCAGTCAATCACCACCACTGCATCTGCACTGAGGGAAAACACTTCCTCTCCTACAACATCTCCATTTATCCAGTCAATCACCACCACTGCATCTGCACTGAGGGAAAACACTTCCTCTCCTACAACATCTCCATTTATCCAGTCAATCACCACCACTGCGTCTGCACTGAGGGAAAATCACCACCACTCTCTCACTACAACATCTCCATTTATCCAGTCAATCACCACCACTGCATCTGCACTGAGGAAAACACTTCCTCTCCTACAACATCTCCATTTATCCAGTCAATCACCACCACCACTGCGTCTGCACTGAGGGAAAACACTTCCTCTCCTACAACATCTCCATTTATCCAGTCAATCACCACCACTGCATCTGCACTGAGGGAAAACACTTCCTCTCCTAACAACATTTATCCAGTCAATCCATTTATCCAGTCAATCATTTATCACAATCACCACTGCGTCTGCACTGAGGGAAAAACACTTCCTCTCCTACAACATCTCCATTTATCCAGTCAATCACCACCAACATCTCCATTTATCTCATCACTGAGGGAAAAACACACTTCCTCTCCTACAACATCTCCATTTATCCAGTCAATCACCACCACTGCATCTGCACTGAGGGAAAACACTTCCTCTCCTACAACATCTCCATTTATCCAGTCAATCACCACCACTGCGTCTGCACTGAGGGAAAACACTTCCTCTCCTACAACATCTCCATTTATCCAGTCAATCACCACTGCATCTGCACTGAGGGAAAACACTTCCTCTCCTACAACATCTCCATTTATCCAGTCAATCACCACCACTGCGTCTGCACTGAGGGAAAACACTTCCTCTCCTACAACATCTCCATTTATCCAGTCAATCATCACCGCTGCGTCTAAAACACTTCCTCTCCTACAACATCTCCATTTATCCAGTCAATCACTTTCATTTACCGCAATGGGACTAATTCAACAGCCCAATCTTACCCAAAACTCACCCATGCCTCAAGAAAAGACAGATAAAAAACTAAAAACACGTACATGCTCTATGACCTTCGCAGGAACGACAGGAACAGCTCCTAAGAGGAAGAAACCATGGACTTGTCTTAGCACACAGTATTCATGGCAACAATTGATGACATTTACTCAGTAAAACTGAAGAAAATTTCATTGTGGACAAACTTCCAGCATCCTCTAAGCAACTGAGTTTTAATTTGCAAAAAAAAAAAGCAATGGTAACCCTAGTCCTGCCAGTCACCCGATATACAGAGGACCCACACTCGATTCCCTGTGTACTGGTTGTCGACATATCATTCTCTGGTAGCTATTTCGCTGTAATCACTAGCCTAAAGGCGGGACTAGGATTAACTAATCAGGCAATTGACAGACACCTGTAAGTACTATGGATACTGAGTGTTTAAAGCAAAAGTGAATCATCACAGAGCTGAAGAACTTGCCAGCAGTGATAATAAGACTGCTGCTGTGCATGAGGAGGTACAGCGGCGGTGTAAGTAGACACATTTATTGGTCACCTTGAAGTGCAGTGTTGGCACATTTATTGGTCACAACACTGGCAATGATGGGTGTTGGGTTCGAGGGGACGGGGACACAGTGGAGGGGGGCAGGGGCAATGGTGGCAGGAGCTGGGAGGGGAACAGGAAAGGCCAAGAACAGCAAACATGAGACAACACTGGCAATGATGGGTGGAAAAAAAGTAAAAAGCCTTCAAGATTAAAAAGCTAATGCATGAGGTTAAAAAGCGGTCAGGGGGCGGGGACATCAACGCCTGTAGGAGTGGGGGCAAAGGCAATGGTGGCAGGAGCTACCAGAGGGGAACAGGAAAGGCATTCTTTGAACAGCAAACATGATTTTGATTTTCTACCCAAGCTCTGCTTTTTCGAATTCATGTAAAGCTCTGAAACTTTGCAGGGCTGGATAAACCACTTAACATAGCAGTTGCCACTGAATCCAAAACAGAGGGCACAGAGGGCGTGATGGTTACCTTGCTTAGCGGTGGTCTGAGGAGCTATGGTGACGGGTGCAGGTTTGGCCCGCTGGCTGCTGGGGCTCTGCTGGCTGCAGAACTGGAGCAGACACAGCAGGTTGCAGAAGTGCTTCATCTCTCCCAGCCACCTGAGCGACTCGATCAGCTTCCCTTGACGCTTACAGGCATCGCACTTCGACATCTGGGGAGGGCAGACAGCAGATGGAGTGTTCATTCCAGACTTAAACAGAGCACGTCAGTCCTCCACCCTGAGCAAACTGCAGGTTTTTGATATGACTCAGATAAGTCATTGAGAACAGTGCTACACTAGTGCACTCCAATTGCTTCAGACACACAAGTAGCAAATTGTGCAACTGCCATGCTTCCTCAGTGTGCACACACCAGCGAGAGAAACATTTCTGCTACCCTAAAAACCCAACATTTGGGAAGCCATGACAACTATTCATGCCTGTGCAGCAATAAAGATGAACTGGGTGTTAAGGCAGTCTAGTGTAATGGGACATGCACTCTATACCGGCAAACAAGTACAATGAATTATGCTCTCTAACCTGGCAAACAAGTACAGCGTACTGGGACATGCACTCATCTCCACAGAACTCCTCCAGCTTGCCACCAAACTGGCTCTGCACGAGCCGTGGGGAAGTGCTGCCGCAGTAGGCACAGTTCCGACAGTGATTCCCCCAGCGCTTAGCCAGGTCATGCTTGTAGAGGAGTTTACAACCTGAGGGACAGTGGAGAAACAGAGATGGTAACAGTGCCCTGATACTGATACATGAATCCTGTGCCCATTGTGGAAATTTCCACTGAAGATGACCAGCAGTTAAACCTTTGATGATGATGTACAATATTCAACCCCGTGGTTAATCTGTCCTCTGCATTTGATCCATCCTATACTTAGGAGCAGTGGGCAGCCACAAAGCAGTGCCCCAGGGACCAATTCCTTGGTCAGATGCACTGGTAAGAGTGTTCCAACAACGCAATGTTTTTTTTTTTTTTTTCCAGAGTGGGGTAAACTGGAGTACATGGTGGTACCCATGCAAACAGAACACAGGGAAAACATGCAAACTCCACCAGCCGGGGCTTGAACCTGGGACCACCTTACTGAGAAGCAGCAGCGCTAACCATTGTGCCACTTTTGGCATCAACAATGACACAGCTGCTCAAGTCAAACTTCAATTCATCTCCTTTTCACAATCTCAATCATAGTTTTCTGTTTAAAGCGTAATAAGACGGTGTTGACCACAAGAAAAAACAGAAAAGTTTCTCAAAACTGAATGATACTATTGCTAATTTAGAAAACGCATTAATTCAAAAACTATGAAACTTTTAAAATTTAACTGAGAAGGTTATAAAAAAAAAAAAAAGCATTCTTTAGTTCTCAGAATTTCTGATTCACTGAAGACTAAGCACACAGGCTTTAAAAACTGACACCTTCTGCAACAGCCATGTCTTATATCCAGCACATCGAGATCTAATGATGGAGAAAAAACAACATGGGAGGGAGAGAAAGAAACACACCTTCACTGCAGAAAGAGCACTCCTGCTTGTTGATCTTTTTCACCTCTTTCACCACCTTGTCGATCTTGCAGTACTCGCAGCGAGCCATGACCACATTGGCCCTCTTATATTCTTCTGAGCACGTCTTCCCACAGCACAGAATCATCTCACCCTGCGGGGGGGGGGGGGGGGCATTCGAATCTCAGACTGTATCGAGGCAAGTCTTTTCGAACATTCAAAACTGTGCCATTCCACATTTCTCCAGGAACACATTTCAAAGACAAAGAAGGGGCCAAGCAAAGTGAAAAGAAAATTGTTCTAGAAAGTTATTCATTTGCATTGTACATCATGGAAAAGTTAGAGACCAAACTTGTGACTGTGAACATTAAAATGTAAATTAAAAAATCAAAATGCTCGATGTAAAAGTTCATATATTCAGAAAAGGTGCAGAGTTCTGAATATATTACAGTAATGGAATGAAGAGGACTGCATTCTTAATGTTATTGAAAGCATGGACACACATTAGAACAGGGGGAACAGTTCAGACATCAGGCCACCAATCATAGCCATCTGAGAGATAATGAATGATTCAAAGACAAAATGAACATGAAGCAACCCTGCATTGCACTGATGTTTAAGAATGAAAAATAATTAATACAAGAGCCAATTTCCTCAGTGGTTAATGTTGCCTCTTTTTTGTGTAATTGCTTGCCATTTTGCAAGAAGCACAATATGAACTTTGGGACTGCATACAGTATATTCCTCATGGTAGTGCATTTTTCTGGCATGATGTTGATCAATACGATAATTAATCCATCAAAAAATCAAAAGCAAATACTCAAGAAAAATTAGCAGCTTGTTAAAATTCTTTAATTGCAATTGTGGGGGGAACAAGAACCAGCATACAAGGGGGCCCCAAGGACCAAGTTTGGGAACCACTGCATTAGAAAAAGAAACCTTCATCAGCACTGGGCATGAGCAAAAATGACTGCTGCTGAACACGGCTGGCATGTTTGCACGTGCTCCAGGGACAGATGCCTGAATCCCTACCTTGAACTCAAAAAGCTCAGGTTTGGAGGCAAAGAGGCGGTAGCAGTGCTTGCAGGATAGTCGGGTTTGCGCCCTCGCGGCGAGCTGTGCCAGAGCACTGGCAGGTGGAGCGGAGACCACAGGCGAATCAGTGGAGGCGGTTGTCGCAGTGTTTGGGACCGCGGGTTGGGTCGGAGCTGTCGTGCTGGCTATCACAGGCGAAGGGATGACACTGATCTGAGTCTGAGTTGTAGCTTTGTTGAACGCCGTCTGCATGGAAAAAAAGAAGCCAGCTGAACCCAAGCTGAATTATAATAAAAGCTGCTTTGAGTAGGCAGCTCCATGTCGTGAGCTTTCTGACTTACACCACATTGATTACAGGTAAAATCGCCCAGCAGGGCTGACTAAGTCAATATAATTCTCAAAATTTTCAATTACAAGCTGCAGCGAAATACACAGAGGTAGGTCGTGAAAAACACCACAATATAAACTTGCAAACGTTGAGGCTCTTAACCCTTTCACCCCCAGTAGTGCTATATAGCACTCTTATGTGACTGGCATTTTTTGCCCAATGGTGCCATATGGCACTCTTTTTGTTATGTTTCTTTGAACAATCAGGGATAAGAACAGACAGCCAGAAATTTAATTAGAATGTCAACAAAGGCCATGGGGAGAAATAGCAGTGAGAACTGGGCACTGGTGGTGGTGAAAGGGTTAAAGAGCAGAGTGCACAGCGAGAGGCCGATGGAGAGAAGGGTCACCTGGAAGCTGAGGACGCAGCTGTAGGAGCAGAAGTTGCGCATGGACCCATCAGACATGGCCAGGTGGTACTGTGGCACCGCAGTAACCTTGCACTGGTCGCAGGGCAGCACCGACCCTGCAGGGGCACACACGCCAGGCGCATTGAATGAGGGGTGCGCAGGAGGACCAGCTTGCATTGGCACAAGTTTCAACTACAAGTTTCAAGCAACTGAAATGTATTTGAGAGTGAGACATACCAAATGTTTAGGTATGCACATTAAGGACTGAATAAAGAGCCAAGACATGAAAAAGTACTTGGATATGAAAAGCAGCCAATGCACTTTCAAGGGAGAAACATGAATTATTTATGCTAAAACATTATTTAGCGTATATATCTGACGCATTTGGGGACCAATTCAAAAAACAGACAGTAAGCCCAATGCTTCACCAATTTGAAATGAGACTCTGCTATAAAACGCAATGTAGTCCAAGACTGAGCTAATTCTGTTCCTGTGAAACTGGCCCACAGTGACTGGTTTGCCTTTAAACTCTTTCTGCAGATACCAAATCAAGCCATTCCATGCCTGTGTGTGTATAACCCCTATTTAAGGCTTTATTACACAGGAGCTGAGTGTCACGGAGACTGGAAAAATGATTACAATGAAGCAAGGTACGCATATGATTTGGAAATAAAACTAAATACGGATTATTTTAAGAATTCAGAGACAAAAAAACGCCACAAAGGCAAGGAAGCTTCATGAAAATTCAACAATGAAGTTGTTTCGCAATGAAATACTGAGAAACAACATAGAAAGGAGGTAAAACATTTCCTGGATCAAAAACACTCATTGACAAGAAAAGTACCACATCTGAGGGTGATACTCAGCAAAAGTGGACCGATTTATCCAATTTATCATTTTGGTCGATTAATCGACCCTAATAGGACTTATTACAAAGCATCGTCATCAGTAGATCTGGGCTCCGATGGTGGCCCATGGCCGTGCAGCCTCAGGCGGGGACGCACATCACGTGCATTGCCTTCTGCATGGAGTCTCCATACACAGCGTACAGGTGATTTGTACTCAAAATAATTTATACTTAATTGAAAGTTAACTTTGTAACACCGCTTTATTCACAAGTTATGATCATGATAAAGTTGTTGGTTATGGTATTGCATTATTAATGGATAAGACTATCGTGAACTGCTTTTGTGCGAAACTCACGGTGCTGTCTCCGTTGAGCTGGCCAGCTCCCTATAAATCTGCAAACAGAAAGTGAGCAAAGCACAACTAATGGGGCTGTATCTGATAATCTGAGGGCCACTCCTGATGAAAATATAAGTTTGCGTGAGCAACCCCTTAGCATACTCAACTGTTAGAAACAACCATGATACGCCACTCGCGCTGAGAGACGGTGAGAGGGGTGGGTAGGGGCTTAAGCCTTCATGGTACCAGGGAACCGCTGACAAGTGGGAACTTTACCCTGATTCATATATTTGACCTGTTTTCAGTTTATTTCTCCCCACAAAAATTGTCTCTGGAATACATAACGCAACAATATCAGCTCTTCACGATACAAGGCAGACAGGGAGGAAAATTAATAACTTAACCTTTACTAAATTACTCACCAATTTAGTGTTCTCTCTTCTAAGTAATCCAACCACATGACGTCAACTCTCCATTCATTCATATTTGGCTAATATTCTTCGAAATAGAACCTTTATCCAAAACATTTCTTGTACCAGGGATTTAACAGGCACTCTTAACCACGATAACAAAGAAATCAACAATATTTTTGGAACATTTTACAAGGAGCTATATGCTTCACAATTCAACTTGCAATCAAAGCAGCACATGATTCATGTCTTCTCAAAATTACAATTACAATTCAGCAAAGGGAAGATGAGTGTCAACGACTGACTCTAAGTGAAATTAAGAACTGTATTCAATTACTCCCGAACAATAAAGCACCGATGGTTTCAATGCCGAATTTACAAAAAAAATTTTGTACCATCCTTGGCAACACTTTATTTGAAATGCTACAATATTCACTTGAGGCTGGAACACTCCCTCCATCTTCAATGGAGGCACATATTTCTTTACTTTAAAAAAAAAAAAAAGTAAACCACCAGAAGAGCGTTCATCATACAGACCGATATCTGTACTAAATTTAGATCTGAAGCTACTGGCCAATGTCCTGGCTTTATGTTTAGAAAATGTCCTCCCTTCAATAACTGTTAATGACCAGACAGGGTTTTTAAGAGGAAGTTAGTCTCCTTACATTGTGCGAAGAGTAACTTAATGTCATCCAGCAGCACTCTTCATTATACAGCCCAGAGGCCCTGGTTATCTCTCTTGACGCAGAGGAAGCTTTTGATAGGCTAGAATAGCCCTATCTTTTTTCACACTTCATAAATTTGGTCAGGGGGAGAACTTTATAAAATGGATACAAATTCTATTCACCTCTCCTTTCTCGGCTGGTAATTTTAGTGTTGAACGGGGGGGACAAGGCAGGGCTGCCCTTTAAGTCCACTATTGTTAGCCATGGTGTCCCCCTGGCTGCAATTATTAGACAAGAAGACAGTACTAAAGGAATATTTCTGAATAAACATTTGCATAAAATGTTGATACACGCTGATAACATACAAATTTATCTAGATTCCCCAAGATTATCGATTCCCAATTTAATAGAAGTAATCCATGATTATGGTTCTTTCTCTGGGTATAAAATAAATTTTTCCAAGAGCGAAGCCATGGCACTCGTCAGTCCTAACATACTAGATTCAAATATCTCACGGCCCTTTCGATGGTCCGCAGCTGGTTTTTCATATCTAGGTATTAAAATTTCCCCTCAGCAAAAAGATCTTTATCCA